GGAAACTTCCATCCGTTGTGATTGCGTAATGGCGCAAGGTCATGACATAGACACCTTGATGCCTTGATGCCTTGATGCCTTGATGCCTTGATGCCTTGCGGTCTTATGGCCTTGGCAACACCACGTGATAACTTGTACATCTAGATCATGTGATCTATGAGCGGTTGCTCCGTAAGCTCTCAACAGCTCTACCAAGCTGGAGTAGCGAGGTCAGATACCCATAATCATCACCCTTCTTTTTGTACACATTATATCGCAACTCCCCCAATAAACACCTTTTCCAACTTCTACGTCGTTCGTTCAATTCATCCAACATCTGTCTGAAGTTCTACCCTCCGGCTTCGCCCTTACAACGATGAACGGCGCAAGCGACCCTGAGAGAGACCAAGCGCTCGAAGATTACAAGAAGAGCTTACTAGAGCTTCGAGAATGGGAAGCTAAGCTCAAGTCTCTGCGTATGGGCATTAAGGACCTGCAGAGAGAGTTTGATCTCTCTGAAGAGAACATCAAGGCCTTGCAGAGTGTCGGTCAGATCATTGGCGAAGTGTTGAAACAGCTGGATGAGGAGCGATGTATGCCATTTTCATAACTCCTATCTATCAAATGTGCACGAACTTGGTCGTCTATAACACGATGGAAAGTTCAATACGATGATACAACAGCTAACTTTGGATAACTGAGATAGTCATCGTTAAGGCGTCATCCGGTCCCCGATATGTTGTCGGCTGCCGCTCCAAGGTCGATAAATCGAAACTGAAACAGGGCACTCGTGTTGCCCTGGACATGACAACACTCACGATTATGCGGATGCTGCCGCGTGAAGTTGACCCGCTGGTGTACAACATGTCGTTGGAGGACCCTGGTCAAATCAACTTCGCGGGTATTGGTGGTCTGAACGACCAAATCAGAGAGCTTCGAGAAGTGATCGAGTTGCCATTGAAGAACCCTGAACTGTTTCAGAGAGTTGGTATCAAGCCGCCCAAGGGTGTATTACTCTATGGTCCGCCCGGTACCGGAAAGACATTGCTGGCACGAGCCGTGGCGAGTTCGATGGAAACCAATTTTCTGAAGGGTAGGCATATATTCTGCTGTCCCCTTCTTGTCACAGCTGCTGAACTTGTTATAGTGGTTTCGTCCGCGATCGTCGACAAATACATTGGTGAATCTGCGCGGTTAATAAGAGAGATGTTCGGTTATGCAAAGGAACACGAGCCCTGTATCATCTTCATGGACGAAATTGATGCTATCGGCGGCAGGCGTTTCTCTGAGGGTACCTCGGCCGACAGAGAAATTCAGAGAACATTGATGGAGCTTCTGAATCAGCTGGATGGTTTCGACTACCTTGGAAAGACGAAAATCATCATGGCGACCAACCGACCAGATACCCTTGACCCTGCTCTGCTCCGTGCCGGTCGTCTGGACCGCAAGATCGAAATCCCCCTTCCCAACGAGGTTGGCCGTCTGGAGATCCTGAAGATCCACTCTAGCACTGTCCAGCTGGAGGGCGAGATTGATTTCGAAAGCGTCGTAAAGATGAGCGATGGTCTCAACGGTGCCGATCTGCGTAACGTGGTTACGGAAGCGTATGCTCACCTTTTCTGACACCTTCATTGGCATGAGTAAATTGCTGACGTTGCATAGTGGACTTTTTGCCATCAAGGATTATCGGGACGCAATCAGTCAGGACGACTTCAACAAGGCGGTTCGCAAGGTTGCAGAGGCCAAGAAGCTGGAAGGCAAGCTTGAATACCAGAAACTGTAGTTTCACACCCCGATTACTTTTATGCATGACACCATTCCATGAATGGCCGCCTCGAAATGAGACAGAATCTACCACAATATTGAAGAGCATTAATCCGGCCTTCATCACTGCCTTGATATCTGCCGGTCTTTTGGGGATCAGTAGACAATAATCGATTAATGTTTTGTACGATATATATATCCATCATGTAGTTTCATCAGACGGGCCTCCCAGTTTCCCCGCATGGATGAACCGAAACTGGACCCTGAGGCCTAATCTTTGCGCCCGCGTAACCTATGGTGTTGGGATGGACTGTCTCATCAAGTCTCATCCTGCCAAGGTACAGCAAGAGGATTAAAGACCCTCCATTGCGTAGGGAAGAATCCAGAAGCATGGAGCAGCAAGAGTCGGTGCCAAGGCGCTTGCTTCCCCGAAAGAACTCCGCCCGTAGACTTTTAGATCTACTCCGTACAGATCGGCCAAGTCGCAACAAGAAGTGGCCACACCTACCATTTCCACCGTCCAACTACCTTACTGAGAGACACGCCTCGGAGGCTAGGTAAAAGGGACGCTGGTCGACCTGGTAAGTACTTCAGCTTGTCTTAGAAGCAGCATTGATTATTCCGTGGGCAACCTTGTTCGGACGACGCATATTGAGATGTTTGTTTGGTCTGCGGGACGGAGAAAGTTGGCGAGCTCAATCACCAAGCTCAAGGCTGGTGTCGAATTCCAAGATTGCTAATGTTTCGTCTCTCCTTAGATTATCACAAGAATTTACGAATCGGACATCCTGATAGTAATCGAACTGAGCATCTATGCGAACGCATTGATTCCTCTTCATAGTAGGTCTCTCGGCAGCTGGGTCAACCCTGAGAGATCGGAGACAAACACAGCGCAACAATAACCCGTAACGCCATGTCGAGCCCTCCAGCCCAGCGACTCCATAGCGAAAGCCACTGGCGTGCGAACCGCAATCCCAATGCCAGCCCTCTGGGCGGATATGGGCTATCGCAACAGTCGACGGGAGTAGCGAACAAACTCGGCAACTTCTTCGACGGCGGTCGCTCGCTCCCGATGTACAAGGATAAGCCGTACTTTGCGCCGCGGCGTACAGCGGCGAGGAGTAGGCGGAGGAAGATCCTGTACGGCGGGTTGTGTGTGTTCGTGTTGGTCTGCCTGTGGTATTTTACGGCGGGGTCCTATGAGCGGCATTGGCATGGGTTAGACACGCCTGACACGCCCAAGGGCGAGGAAATGTGGAAGTGGCTACAGAGTGTTGGGGATCCGGCGACCGAGATTGAAGACGGCCAGCATCAGAATATCGATTGGAATGCTCGAAGGGAAAAGGTTAGGGATGCCTTCATTATTAGCTGGGATGGATATGAGCAGCACGGATGGGGTATGTTCGCTTTCAATTGGTTTCTATGTGGACAGGCTGATAATTTTATGGCTAGGGTACGACGAGTACAAACCAATCGCGAAAGAAGGGAGACAGATGGTGCCGGGAGGGATGGGCTGGATCATCGTTGACGCCCTCGATACGCTCATGATCATGAATCTGACCTCGCGGGTTCAGCACGCGCGCAACTGGATCCACAACTCGCTACAGTACAACCAAGACCACGACGTCAACACATTTGAGACGACCATCCGGATGTTGGGTGGCCTACTGTCAGCGCATTATCTTTCCACCGCCCATCCCGGGCTCGCCCCAATCGCCGACGACGATGCGGGCTCACCAGGAGAGGATCTGTATATTGAGAAGGCGACCGACTTGGCGGATAGACTGCTGGGCGCTTTCGACTCTGGGTCTGGAGTGCCATACGCCAGCATCAATCTGAATACGTCTACTGGTATTCCAGCGCATTCAGACAATGGGGCTTCATCTACGGCAGAGGCTACCACTGTTCAACTCGAGTTCAAGTACTTGGCCAAGCTGACGGGAGAGGCGGAGTACTGGCGGGTGGTAGAGAAGGTGATGCAAGTGGTTGACGACCAGGAGATGGAAGACGGCCTGCTCCCGATCTATATCTATCCAGACTCTGGACATTTCAGGGGAGACAACATTCGCCTGGGAAGTCGCGGCGATTCTTACTACGGTGAGTGAGCCAAGGTGTCTCTCAGTGGATGTCCTACTAATAGTGGCTCTAGAGTATCTTATCAAGCAGTATTTGCAAACATCTAAACAGGAGCCCATATACAAAGCGCTCTGGGATGAGTCGCTGATGGGCGTCCGCAAGCATCTGATTGCTTACACCACGAATGCTCAGCTGATGATCTTGGGGGAGAAGCCGTCTGGACTCCATGGGAAACTGTCGCCGAAGATGGATCACCTGGTTTGTTTCATGCCGGGAACTATTGCCCTAGGAGCGACCGGCGGCGTGCCATTGAGCGAAGCCCGGAAGTCTCCTGACTGGACTCAACGGCAGGACGAAGAGATTCTGCTTGCGCGGGAACTGATGAAGACATGCTGGGCGACATACCTCGCGACTGAGACGGGTCTGGCTCCGGAAATCACGTACTTTACCTTGGACGACCCTCCGAAGATGTTCCACGACATGTACCCGGACTCGACGATGAGCGCGGGCAACCGCAAGTCCGCGGGGGAGGACCTGCCTCTGAAGTCACAGCCTCTTTACCCGCTGGACGACAAGACCCTCAAGTGGCGGGAGGACATCCAGATCCAGAGTCAAGACCGCCACAATCTCCAACGGCCAGAGACGGTCGAGTCACTGTTTTATATGTACCGCGTGACAGGGGACGAGATGTATCGCCAGTGGGGATGGGAGATGTTCAAGTCCTTTGTCCGCCACACGGCGGTAGTCGAACATGACCTGTCGCACGAGCCCGATGTCCCTGCCGATGCCGATGCTGCCGCTGCCGGAACACAAGCCGAGAAAGTCCCGCGCCCTTCGCGGATTACGGGATTCACGTCGCTGAGCAACGCCAACACCGTGCCCCCTGTAACCCGGGACAACATGGAGAGTTTCTGGATGGCAGAGACACTCAAGTATTTCTACTTGTTGTTTTCCGACCGGGACTTTATCTCCCTGGAGGACCATGTGTTCAACACGGAAGCGCATCCGCTGCCGCGGTTTCAGCCTACGGGTGATTTGAAGACGGGGTGGACGCGGAAGCCTCGCTAGAGGGGTACAGTGCGAGGAATCTAGATGAGATGCTGTACATATATACATTTCCGGATGTGTTTCGATAATAGCATAATGCAGTAACGAGGCTGTTTCCAGAATTACTTTCTAATCTATGAGGTCGACCGGTCCAGCGCCGCCTGGATCAGTTTCTTATACCCGCGCACGGCCTCCTCGAGCTGCGCGACGGTCAATGCTTCGTCATCGCCATGCGCAACGTGGATACTCCCCGGCCCATACAGGTACCGCTTGACCTTGCCATCCGGACGGGCATGGAGCTGCAGGTTCGGCACGTCGGTCCCGTAGTTGACAGTGGTGACGTTGAACCCGGGAACATCGGTATCCAAATCCTGCGGGCCATACCCCTCCAGACTAAAGTTGACGACCACCCGGTCGTCGCCGCCCGTCGCGTCCCGGACGGCCTTGAGCACAATCTCGCGCGCCTCGTCGTCCGTCCCCGCCGCCAGCCGCACGGCGACGCGCGCGCGCGCAGAGCTCGGCACCACGTTCGCCGCGACGCCGCCCTCCATCCGCCCGATGTTGACCGTCGTGCGACCGTACTTGTCGCTGGCGGGCAGGCCGCCCTCGTCGGCGGGGATATCGCCCAGGCGGTCCACGCGCGCCAGCGCCGGCAGGATGGCGGAGATGGCACTCTCGCCCAGCCAGGGATAGCCGGAGTGGGCGGCGTGGCCGTGCGCGACGACCTCGAAGCCCAGCATGCCCTTGTGGCCGGCGACGAGGGCCAGCTCGGTCGGTTCGCCGAAGATGACGGTGTGGAAGGGGCTCGGGGAGGGATTGAGGCGCGCAGACCGCGAGAAGGCCTTCATGCCGTCGCCGCCGGTTTCCTCGCCGACGACGAAGAGGAGGCCCAGGGGCGCGGCGGGCTGGGCGGCGAGGGTGTCGAGGACGGCGAAGATCTGGGCCGCGACGCTGCCTTTGGCGTCTACGGTGCCGCGGCCGGCGATGAGGATGTTCCTGTCGTCGGTGTCGTTGGCATCGCGGTGCAGCGAGTACGGGATGAAGGGGGGCACGGTGTCGATGTGGCTGGTGAGGAGGATCTGGGGGCCCTGGCTCGGGCGCGACTCATCCAGGGAATGGGACTTGGGGAAGGCGAAGATGTTGAAGCGTGCATCCGATTCCGTGGTGACGGGCTGCTTGATCACGGTGAAGTTGTGGGATTCCAGGAAATCAGCCACAAAGGCGCCGGCTGCGCCCTCGTTTCCGGAGATGGACTCGATCGAGACGAGGTCTCGATGGAATGAGAGTAGAGGGGAGGCATTTACAATGTCGTCTGGAGAGTTTTGGCTAAACTCTGTCAGAGTCTCGCCCACGATCGTTGGGATATCTGCGAGAGGCGCCTGCGGAGATGCGGGGTGCGGAGGAGCAGCCGCGCAGAGGACGGCGCAGAGCAGGAGAGACAAGGGTTTCATCTCATGAATAGATGCAACCCAGAGGATTGGAATTGGGATAGAGTTTGAGGCGTCGGCGAAATTACCGACAAAGTTGATGGACTCTCAAGGGTAAACCACGGTATATTTTCCATGAATAGGAGAGGGCCGACCGGTGACATGGTGATAGTAGGTCACGTGGTTTATGTCTGCTACGAAATGGTGTGCTCGGTGTCCAATGGAGGAATGAACTCAATTGATCCCTCGATTGATCCATGTGGCTATGAGGAGTCATCTAGATCCCTTGGCCTTGGATATAGATAGATCGAATTGATGCATACACTAGACGTGTGCAGTTTGGGTAATGGATAGCCACTGTACTCCGTACGGGGTAGATATGCCTAGGGAATCAATGTATCGGTTTCCGATATTGATAGATACTCTAGATTGGAGTAGTAGGGTGATGCCACCATCATGATCACAGTCGCTGTGGACAATACCTTATCATCCTTCCGCCAAGGAAGAGGAAAATCACAATGTTGCCAAGGGATTGAAATTCTTACAATTCATGGAATTCATGGAGAAAACCATGGAATCATACGAGGTCACACTTACGTCAAAAACTGGGTCCTTCGCAGCATGAGGTCAAACCCAATGGACGGCCATGTGGAACTGACGGCGGCACCAGGGCTTTCTCTGAATAGGCTGTCCAGTGTACACAGTGGAAAAGAGTGTCAACTGTACAGTACTTTTCACTTGTCCATATATCTTATTATCACTCCGTACATGTACATGATACATACACATAACATAAGGTATGCGAACTCATCAGTGAGTGGCTTGACTGCTCAGGTAGAGCTATCCATGCTGACTGCATAGAGAGGTCCTGGGACTGTTGCACGACAGCTGAAGCTCAACCTTTGTTCCTAGTACTAGACTATCTACCTCTCTAGTGATCAGTTAGTATTCTGATGATAATAGAAATAGGGCTATGACGATAAAGGCTCTCGTCTCTCAAGTCCATCAGAGTCTAGAAGGCGCTGTTCTTTGCTTGTTCGGGGTCAAAGTGGGTTATCCCTGTGTGGTGGACTCCGATCTCGCACCAGGATTAGCCGACAGTTGATTGGTAATAGCTTAAGCACTAAACTAGCAGGAATAAGGCATCCGCAACGGTTTTTGTCTGGCAGTTGAATGATGAATCAGGTCAGCTGCATTATTAGATATTCTTATTATTCTTTAGACTTGCAACATTACGAGACATTTTGAGTCTAAACAATACTAAATAATACCCACGAAGTTATTGCACTGACTATCCTTCTAGAAGAACTCAGTGGACGGGAGAAGCCAGAGCAAACCGTGGCAACTGGCGAGCAGAGCCCTCACGCAAACCGGGTTCCATGGCTCACGCACAGCGGAACGCACGGAGGTCTTTACTTTTTTCAGTTTCTGCTGTGTTCTGATTCGCAAGTGCCACTGTTTTCCCTTTTGTCTGGGCCTGGTTCGAAAAGAAAAATGCACATGGCCTTGGAGGATTGGAGATGGTCGATTGAGTCTTGGAGAATTGACCCTGGTAGAATAATAATAATACTCGCATCTGCTAAGAAAAGAATGAAAAAATCCTGCTCCATTTCGCCTCTCTTTGCATATTCTTCGTATTAGGAGTATCACAGACATTTCCATTCCATCGGTTTGTAGATATCCTATCCTCGTCTTGTCCTCTCCCTCTCCTCCTCTTCCTTCTGTCAACAGTCACACTCGCACCATTCACCGCGTTTTCTCCCGATCCTTGTGGTTGTGAATGATTGATTGCGTGCTGGATTGAGCAACTGCCCATCCTCCACTGAGCTGTCATCCTTCTTCTTCCTCGGTCTGTCTTCTTCCCACTCATCTGCTCCACGTCTGCATCTGCTGTCGGCCCTACCGCCTGTTCGTCGCCTTCAGGCCCAAAATATCCTTCGTCACTGTTCTTCAATCAATCACGTCTCTGCAATCACAAACAAAAAGCAATTACCTCAAATCATCTATCTATCGGCGAACTGGTTTCCCTCACCCGTTCAACTCTTTCCTCCTCCTGACTCATCCTCCATCGCGACCTCTTCTTTCCTCTGGTTGACCGCCACGCCACGTCTGCTTCCTACTTCCAACTCATCGATTCCCTGTTTGAAATAAGGGCTCTTGCCTATTTTTCTCTGCTCCTCTGCTCCCTTGAATTCATTAAATACAGACCGACCGACAGGCAAGCAGCAACCCTCATCAGATCATGTCTCTGTAACCCTGCTTCGGTCCTCTACTTCTGAACCGCGCATCCGCATGTGAAAGTTGCGTCCACGAGAACCCAGTTGCAGTCAAAACAATCAACCCACCACCCACACGGACAATTCCCTGTGCTTGTCCACCATGCTGAAGCTCTCACAATTACTAGACGCCAAAGGGCGTAACAGCTCCGATACAAATGCAGACATCTCGCCATTGTCCCGTCAACCCCCTCAGTCCCCATTGACGGCCGATCTGTCCACCCCGGTCTCGCCCGTGGTCTCGCTTTTTTCCTCTAAAGGTCATACGCGTGTCTCCAGCTCCGTCTCCTCCCTGGTCTCGTCCCCTGGTCAGGGAACTTCCATGGAGAGCTCAAGGAATGCCCTGACAGGAGTGAAGGAGGAACCCTGCCAAGCCAGGGATCTTGAGGAGGAATATTTCCGTACGTCCTTCCCTCCCTCCAAATGCTTGCTCTGCTTTGCATACTGATTAATTCTCTGCAGAACATTTTGACCAAGGCATGTCTATTGTGGACGATGCGTACTTTCGACCCTCGGTCGATTACTCTGAAAGTTACGATTTGAACGATACCGGAATGGACACCCCTCATTCCCCCAAGAAAAGACGCGCCGGCAGTCTCTCCGGTAAAGGCCTGTCGCGCATTAGCTCTCGCATTTCCACCATATCCAACCGCTGGAGGTCGAATCGCGTGTCGGACGGTCCTGATGCCGTGGACACCGTCGGATCCAGTCTACGGTCCCGGACAAACTCCGCCTCGTCCATCCGTGCCAGCCCGACTGTAAGTCGAGTCGACTCCATCGCGATTCCGCCTTCGCCTGCAAGGACTATTTTTGAGGAACGCATGAGCGAGTCGGGAGCACAACCCATCGACATTGCCAAAGCGAACGGCCAGGGCCAGGATGACTCGGACGCCCCGCAAGCCACCACTCCTCTGCTTCCTCCCTTCATGGGGGACGAGCCACTGAGTGTTACAGCCTCCAGAGTTCAATCGCCTCTGCAGTCACCGTCGGTCGCCGACGTCTCCGAGGAGTGCCTGGACAACAGCATGACGTTTCCGGACCCTCGCCTGGCAGGCATTCCGTCGCCTCCGCTGTCGACCAAGCCGTCGGTCGCGTCTTTCAATCGTCCACGCGCCAGTACGATGCGGACAGTGTCCGGAGAGGGCCCATCCTTCTCGTTGACCGATCCGAACGACGAGTGGGCGACCCAACTCGGCCATGCCAATTTCACTATCCAGCCCGAACCTTATGTGCCTGAAGTCTACGATCTGAGCTCGTTCCGGCAATTACGCGAACACTGGGATCAAGCACAGTGCAACTTCACCAAGCACCTGGTTCGGACCGGTGAGCACTACGGTGTGACCTCCACCATCTACAAACTCACCGAGGCCAAGTGGGACGCGATCAACAGTGAATGGAAGCGCACCTACGACGAGATGCTGTCCCAACTAGACGCGACCGATGGCTCGCTGATGGGCATCATCCAGTCTCAAGGCAACCCCTGCGAGCCAGTCAAAATTCCTCGCCTCCACGATGAGAAGTTCCCCGAACTCGGCGATGGCGAGATCGTCGGTCCCATGAAAATTGCTCCGCCGGCGAGTATGACAGCCTGTCGGGGCCGATCCTTGAAACGAAACTTTTTCAAATTCTTCCAGGATCTCGTGTCGCGATCCTGATGTGCATTGCATCCACTACACCAATTAATGACGATAGAGCACTCCCGAGAGGTCTTCGATGTACAACATCTTGTAATAACGAGCCTCCTGGGGTTTATTGTTTGAGCGTGTGACGACTAATGTCTCTTTTTCTAATGACTGACGACCACCTCCATGTGCCTGCGACTACTGACTCGCAGGGCAATTGCATTCCTTCAACCTACTTCTTTTCATATGTTCAATATTCTAAGACATGACGGACAAATCTTTTTGTCTAGGGTTGGGCTGTTCACAATGTGAAGCAAACAGTGCTGCAGATCGTGCACCGTTCCGTTCCCTGCACCACGCACAGTCGATGTCTGACATGAATCTTGACGATCGATGTGTCTGAGAAGACGTCTGTCCGTCTCTATTCAAAAAAAGGAAAAAAAGAGAGAAGCATGAATGATACGGTCTGCCGTGTATATGTATATATGTACCCAATATACCCATCATTTCGATAATGAATCATAGAGATTACTTTGATATCCCTCTCGGTTTGTAAGACCATGGTCGAGTTTAGTGAAATCAGAAAAGGGTATCATAAATCGGTCCTTCGTCGATCTGCCGGCCGTCCATAGCAGCCAGTCCTGCCGCGCCGTCTCTGAAGGTGGTAGACATTTTGCTTATCGCAGGATCATACTGCGCGGTCCCTTATTTGTTGGTCGTTACCTCAGCAGCGTGCACCCACGCATAAGAGGCAGGGATATGCCTCTGCTTTCTGTATAGGCGGGCAACCCCACCACGATAGACAGCGTCATCTCCAAAGGTAAAGCCACGCAAGCGGACAGACATGACCGCAGTGATGAGCTGCTCCCTAACGTCTGCAAGAATCAAACCCAGTACTGCCCCCATATCCGTCTTGCCTCTTCGTCCCCCTGAAACCGGAAATCCACGCGGACGATATCACTGAAACCTTCTTCCATGGTGGGTTCTTTGAAGCGTTTCAGGAAATCGCCGAATGCGATGCCAGGCAGTGGCGCGCGGGATTCGGGGTTCTACAGCGAATAAATCGTCAGTCTCGTTTTCAACGGTAGAGACAAACGTGAGACGTACCAAGGATCGATTCGCGGCACGGACGGCGTTGTTGTGCTTGCACAGTTCCAGCGGGCTGGTGAAGTGGACACATCGGATGGGGACGTTGAATTCCTTTGCGACGCGCACCCATTCGGCGCGTGTGTTGGGGTCTGCGTTTGTGTTGTCTGTCATGGCGTCAGCAGCCTGTGTCTGGGTGCTTGTCGGAGACCTTTAAAGGGATAGAACCTACCCACGACGACGGAGGAGCCGGCCGCGAGAAACTCTTTGGCGACTTTGATGCATTTCTGTCTCTGTTGGCCATCCGGTATCAGTGTACCGTTCTTAAGTTCACGGGGATTGTAGATGTGGTACCGTCTTGAGGTTGTCCTGGTTGACTCGCTCGTAGCCTAGCGGCTCGAGGTAATTCCAGTAAAAGGTCGATTTACCGGCTCCAGGGCTGCCGCAGAAGATGACGAGTTCCCGGGGACTGTGGCGGGCGAAAGGGACGGGCGCTGCAGTTGGTCAGTTGGTATGCATTCAGCTATGGAAACAGACAGATGTGAGACTAACCGTTGTCCGCGGTGTCAGTCTTCAGGTAGGAAGAAGGGTTGAAGGGCTCCTGGACATCTTGGGCCGCCTGATTCAGGAAGAACTGCTCGGGTGTCTTGAACGGGATCCCGACGTTCACCGCGAAGCCTCTACGGCGCGATTCGCTTAGCGGCAACTTCTTGGCCTGTTGTCGGATGAGAACTCACCGGTCTACTATGGAGTGATCCCGGGGACGTCCGGCCGCATCACCCACGTAGAATGATGCAGACAGATCGACGCCAAAGACGTCGAGGTCGTAGTCTTCCACAAACTCCCTCCACATTCCCGTTCGCGGTTTTCTATTCTCGTCGTCTGCCGTGGCGGCATAGACGCTGATGGGGATATCTATCTGGCGCATCACGCCTGTCACCCTTTCCTTGAAATTAGTCAAGCTTTTCGAATCGGCTCGGCCGCCCTTCAGGTCTTTCTGCAGGCTGATCCTCTTCTGGTTGGACATGATCACGATGTGGTACCTGTGTGCGGTTAGCTTGATTGCCGTCGTGAAAGAGACGTGCTACCTGCCCATCCGCGTTCAGCTCCTGGAGCTTTGTCGGTACATTGGGCGAAAACCACTTCCAATCTGAAGAGTCCCGGGGAAAGGCGTTGCCAGAGGCTGTCACGACCAATGTGGAGTCCTGCGTCGTGCGTCGTCAGTTTGTCTTCGAGTCGCGCGAAAAGCCAGCAGAGCTTACAAAATCAAAGGCGGCCACTTTGGCCTTCTCTCTTCGTGCAGGTTGTTCACCCGGACTGGTCGTATACTTTCCAATCACAAGGCTGTTGTTGACGACCCTCCATGTGATCTTCTCGGGCTTCTTCTGAGATGTAGGTGTGAAAAAGGAGGCGACAGTGCGCTCTGAGCCCGTAAGCTGATGCCATTGCAGTCCTGTAGATATATCTTGAATGACTTACTTGTGACTGTTGACTCGACTTTTCTTTTGAGCGGCGGCGGGGAGATGGCTCTGCTGGGCGAGGCGGCTCTTTTGGCTGCCCCGGACATTATTCTGAGTGTCGCTAGCCAACTGAGAATCTTGACGGATGTCGAGTCTACTTGATGTGGTTGGGTTTACAAGGAGGGAGTGACTGAATGTGATCCCGCGGGGTTATGGGCCGGAGAACTGACTGAAACCCGGCATCAAATGGTCGACTATGGTCGATCAAAGCAGGAAAATGGTAATATGCAGCGAGATGAAGAAGCTAGCGAGGTCGAACAGATTGTGTTGTGTTGCTTGACTGAGATATACCAAAATTGGTACAAGTTTGAGGTTGACGCGCCCGCACGCGTAATGAGGTTCACGAAGTCACATGGTCTATATAAGTTCAAAGTGCCTGAGGCAGTGGTAGACAGACGATAGGCACCAGCAACAAAATCTAGCCTCAGAATTCATCGGATTATCATTTCTATCTCATTCTTACTTGGAAATGGCACAGTCCTGGGAAGTATTCAATCCAAGGTCAATAGACGGTGCCGGGTATAATGCTAGTGTAACTATCAAAGCATAGACATGAAATCACTTTGCACGAGTATCCAAGGACAATCGATCCGCTTGTTCCAGACGAACAGCGGACTTCAACTGCTCCCTTAGCCCGAAGAGATGCTGAGAGGCAATCTTCATGGTCTCCTGATTGCCGCCATCCTGCACTGTGATGGCGGCCTGTAGGACGTAGCCTCCACTTCTGTCAAGTGGTGTCATTTCATTTAGAGCTGGCAATTGCCGCCGAGGCTCTTGAGATTCAGTGTGGTAGTGTAGGACGCGATGTAGAAAGATGACAATGTCGTTATGAATGAAGATATCACCCTCCACCGCATACTCGGTGACAAAGCTGCCATTGGAGTCAATCAATAGTTTCTAGGGTCTAAAACAAGGAGAAAATGACTGACATGTAACCCCAGGCATTCATGGGGACTGTAATATCGCCTTTAGGCAGACTAGCACTGGCCATCAGCCGGGCTGTGACAGCCGACCTGGTCGCTGCCTCGGGGATATCCCTAAACTCCAATTTCCAGGGCTGGTTCTCGTAGTCATAGTAGTGCGTACGGACGGACGATTTCTCATCCGTCCCTGACATGTGTGCATCTTGATCGGCGACCGACGAAGCAGGTGCGCCAAAATCAGCCTCGGAAACAGGGCCAACGACCTGGGTATAGAACATGCCACCATTAAGCATCTTGTTCAGTCGCTGTAATTCTGCGCCCTGCAGATCCTGACTGGCACCTACTCGGACATTGACCAGTCCGGGTTTACGGTATGCTTTGAAGACCAGTCGTCTTTCTAGGCGGTGTTGAGGTTGCATGGCAGTCAACCCTGCCAGCTGTTGGAGCAACTCATGATGCTGATGCGCCGGTACCGAGGCGAAAAGCAACAGCTCATGCATGATGCGTCATATGAAGACGAAATACGGTCGGGTTGGTGGTCGAATGATATAAGGCGATGGTTACTGATGCGCTCTGATCACGGGAATCACAACGGCCGACGACCAGACTAGCCGCCTGAGGCACTGAGTATCGGTGCCTGACAATCCGGATTCGTCGGCGTTAGGAACGGTCAAAAGTTCAAAAAGCGGGACGGGTAAAGTCGGGCAGCGGGAGGCAGAATGCACCGAATGGGAAATTCAGCCTGAGGGTCGCGCTGATCGTCCAGTTAAAACTGAGAACAGGTCAACGGGGAGCGGATTAACTAAGTTTCCGGCTATCAGGGAGGTGATGTGGTAAAAGTGTTTGATAATTTTAGGCTAAGACTGATACCGTTCTTGGCTTTGAGGAGGTACTTTGGTGGATGATGATACTTGGACTCAACTTCCATTCTCACATGTTTCGGTGACAACTGGACGTTGAGCACATGTCTCTAACTCTCTAATGCATTCGGTGACTTGTCTACCTGAGACGGACTGAGATGGACGGTGGTATGATTTGAGAATATGACTCTGGTCTCTATGGCTGTTTCGTACTTTTGATGTGATACGTTGCAACCCCATAGTAGATCATCCACATGTTCGGTCTCCGAGGTGAGGGGAAAGCGTACTGATGAGGAGCAATGCGTAAGGCATGAGAATGAAGAATAGGCTCACCAGGAATGCGGGTTGGGTAAGGATCTGGGGAAGATCTCGGAAATTCAATTCCCGTATCAGTAGTAGTAGTAATTATCTACCTCTCTAGATAGATACTTTAGTATGCAAGTTTGCAACTCGTATCCGAGCGGAGTTGGACACGGAGTTAGCATGATCTGATGCTGACGCCGACATAGGGCCATCCTCGACCGAGTCTACCTCTTCAGCTGCAGCCTAAATGAGGTCTCCCGGCGTTCCTTTCCAATCAGAGATCAGCAGAGGAAAGATTACTGAAAATGGCGTGAGAATCCTCCTCCACAAATTCCGAGGGACCCTTGCATGAGTGCGGAGGAAGTCATTCAAGTGCATACAATATGTAGGTAACAGAGGTTGAAAACAGAAGACTATACAATAATAAAAATTACTGGATCCGGTATCTTCATCGAGTAAAGTCAAACGAGAGGATGCTCTGAATTATCTCTCTTTTCCCGCTGGACGCAAAAGGCCGGTGGAGAGGGACACTCCCGCTGTGCTTGGGGAGGAGAGTTAAGCTAACCACACCACCACCACATCAGAATAATGTGAAACCCACCCTCGCTTCCTCCCCTCTCCTCCTCCTCCTCCTCCTCCTCCTCCTCCTCTTATTTTAACTTAGATTCCTACTCATTGTTCCCTCTCCAGTCTTTCCAACCTCTCAGTCTCTTTAATATCCATTTCACTTACTTTGTATAATTCCCTTGCATCTTCACTCGACACCAGGCTGGGTAGTCAGCCTGCTAGCAACCATCAAAATCTTGCTATACTGAAAAAGGCTACCTCGGGCGGATCGGACAGTACCGGATCTGTTCAATTTCTCACGCAATTCTCCTCAATTGATAATCTTCTCAACCTACTTTCTCTACTGCAGCATTTCTCCTTTCGATTTTCTCGATTCTCCCTACATAACAGCTTCGTCTCGTTCAAAATGCGTGCCACTGTTGCTCTGCGAAGCGTCGCTCGGACTCCCCTGATCCGCTTTGTCGGTCGGCGTTCTGTGCCTCGTACGTATTATCTAGAGTCACCTCCTGGTAATCTATTTATTCAGTAAACTAACCATGCTATTTTCGCTCCTACTCAGAATCCATTGATCACACTCCTCGCCCTCACCCTGCTTCTCCCTCGGGCATTCTTCCCGACTCTTTCGCCGCCTACCGCTCCAAGGCTCAACAGCACGGCCCTCTCGGTCGCGCTTCTTTCTCTCAGGGATCCGTCGGCCGCTCGGCAGGAGCTTCTCTCGGCCCTGTTCAGCCCAAGCAAGGCCAATTCTTCGATCGTGCCGAGCTTCCCGCCAGATTCCACCGTCTCCCATGGACTGAAGCTGAGATTGAGGCCATTGAGACTGGCGGTGCGAGCCTTTATGCTTAAACAACACGCGTTGACGCGGATATGATGGATGTCACGATTGATGTGGAAGCTCATGTCGACGATTGCAAAGTGACTCGGTCAATGACACGTGAGGACGGAGGAAGTGGTTACCATTGGCTGATCGGAGGTCATGGGGATGATAGTCGTCTTGCTGTTACTTATGGCTTCAACAAGAGCCGTGGTATTGGTACGTCCAGTGTACCTTGACCAGCAGCACTTCACCCCATGCTGGTGATAAGTCGTCGAACAAACGACGACCGACACCTCCGTCAACGGCTGTGCCTGGCCGCCTGTCTCCGACTGTTTCTCTCCTTTTCTTCTTTTGCTCAATTCTATTCGGGCGCTGGTGGTTTGCAAGTCATCGCACTTAGCGGTTACAAGTTGGGTCTATTCTCGGGCGCGTTCAACACCATGGGGTTTCTTTTGATGTTTGACTGTGGAATGTCAGGGTCTAGAAACATCTGTACATATTACTATAAAAGTCTGCTGGAATGGTTAGGCTGTTTTTCGTCGAGAGGTTCGGCTTCCTCTCGCTGGTCATTGTTGACAACAGGAGTCTCAACGATGAAACTACAATGCATTTCCGAAAACCAATCACCTTTGGGCTGTCTTTCCTTGGATCTCTAAATTGTTTTAAGCATATATAGACACGAAAAGTGCGCTTTGAAATGCTTTGAACTGTGTCTCGAGTATGATCCTCGCATAACCTACTTCCATTGTTCGTCCCACGTGTCCCGATTCGCAGAAGCTTATCGGTCGACCTTGGCCTGTCAACCTATCAACACTACAACTCTCAACTGCAGTCTGCAAGCAAAGCAGTAGTCCTCTGGTTTTGTTCACTACGCAGTACAGCTTGATCTCTAGACGATCTACTGTGGTACATGAAACCTCTATCATAGAGCCAGAGCCTTCAAGATGGCTAGAAGCGACGTGCGAAACGCCATTGCGTTTACTGAAGTAGACGAGACCAACAATCCCACAGCAACCTATGTCTATTCCGAAACTCAAGAACATCCCAACAATCCACATGAGAAGAGTCTCAACAAATGGGGAAGGGTCGATGTGATGGTGTGTCAAGCCTTGATCCCTAGCCTTACATGTGACTTGTCACTCTCGTGCAACTGCGTGGACTCGCCCATTGATCTTTACTGTCGATATAGAGACGCTGGACAGTGATTGACAATATACCAGCATCCTTCTTCTACTCCCCCATCGCCATGGTCTCCAATGACCTTCGTCAATCTGCTCGTCGATGTCTTTCTGCCTTCTGGGTATCCCCACAGTGTTACCGATGATTATCTGCCGTAAGGATACCTTTCGGTACTTGACAGAACAAGAGTTGCTAATCATAGGAAGGTATCAAATCTTCGTAAGGACCCAATTCAATGGATTCTCGACACCTTCCGCCGCGTGAGGTACACATGACTTACCAGAGAAGCTGACGCCTCGCCTCAGGACTCCCTCCAGGCATTCTGCAGCTCCATCGCCGGTCTCTTATCCTCCAGAGCCGTACTCCAAGGTGTCGGCGTCGGCAACGCCAACGCCTCT